ACGTAGTGGGGTCTGACAGCACCTGTCGCAGTGGTATGATACAGCGTCAGGTTGAAAGGCTACCATAATATAAGGAGCTGAAGGTCCCTATATAGGGTGGTGGATAGGTCCAACAAACCCAGGACTTTCACCCTGGAAGACGGTGTTTACTTCCTGTATGAATATAATAAGCTAAACCATGATTTAAAAAAACAAAAAACAAATCATGTTTTTTGTTCTTTATTAAGACAAATAAAATACACAACATATAGCAACACACAGAACTGTACACATATACATATCTGGGGGTCATGTAGTCATGGCTCAGCCTCCCTCTGGCCACCAATTTATGATTTGCTGATTCCCCCAAACAAGTACCATAACATTTACACATATTCAGTACATACACACACCCACACACATCTCTGAAAATGATGTAATACTTAAACAGCCAAACACATGCTGACACACAACCTCACAAGCACACACCCAAATGTGCTTTACATAGGAGTATGTACAGAGGTGGGTGAGCGGGCAAGTAACAGCATAAAGTTTAGGATAATAAAATCATAATATTAATAGTTGTATTGATCGCAATAGTAATGAAAGAAAATATTCATATTCATCATTCTTCATCAGCATGATAATGTGGTCCAGTCTAGGCCAAATCTGATTCACTGGGAATAGGACCATGTGTTTCTGTTGACATCTGAGCGTTGGTTGCGGCGTCCAGGAAAGTTAACAGCGGACACATGAGGAAACCTAGTGCATAATAGTAGACGTGAAAGTCCACTGGCAAAGTGGGGATATATGACAGCTTGGGGTGAGAACCAGTGATGGCCAAATGAAGCCTCAGGAACCACTTTCTGTATTTTCTGACCCCACCAGGCACTCTTGGTTTGAAGATAAAGGCTGAAGGACTGGCAGTGAAATGTGCTTTGTTGAACAGACAGCGCCATCTAGTGGCTTCAGAAAATAAAGACAGTGTTTCATGAGGCCTCATTTGGCCATCACTAGTGAGGACGTGTTGACAGAAAACATAAAGGTAACATATTTTCTCTCCTCTCAACCCATGTCAACCCACTTCCACACTTTTTGACTCAATACAAGTCCCACTCTGCCCTCTGCTGTCAGTCAGCCTCATATCACACCATGTGCATGTTTACTTGAGCTGCCGAGCCACTTTGACAGAGAGATCTATTACTACTGTTCACATTTTCCTCTGACACAACTTCCTTGTTTCATCCACTTATGTGTCACTGTAGATAACAACAGATAACAGGTCCAAAGTTCAGGTCATAAGTACACAGACTGAAAGAAAACAAAAGTGCAATGCAAGGACACACAAACACACACATTTTTTATTCTCCATATATCAAACCAACATTGACCTTTGACATCAGACAGTAAAAATAAGTTATTGATGATCAGAAGTTGCTTTGATTGGCCCAATTTCACCCGATACGTCTTGGCTAGAAGGCAGGATGCAGATACTGACCGTGAATTTTAAACACTCTGTTTCTTATTTACAGTAGCTTAAAAGAAAACAGCTGTATCAATACAAAATAGTCTCATTCATAAAACAAATCATTTTAGGTTTGTAAAATTAATATGACTCTAAATGACACAAATGGCAACTTAAGTTTGATGGAAAGAAACACAAAGCCAAAGCACACGTTATCTATTTACAGAGGGTGTGGGGTAAAAGCACTGATGGTTTAGATTCAGGCTGTTTCATTGTGGACTTTGACCGTGCAGCCTGCTTTTCATTGTGTTGAGGCAGCTCTGAAACACACCGAAAAGGTATGTAGGATGTTAACATGAAAAAAATACGCTTTAATGGATTATTTTGTGATTTATTTTTTTACCATGCTATTACTGTTACTATTTATGGCCTGTTTTTAGATTGGTAGCCAAACTGCAATCTTTGTCTGCAATCATCTTCAATACATATCTGTTTGTTCAGTCGCACCAATCAGTTGCTTATGACTTTAAACGAGGTTGATGTCTGTCATTATGTACAGTTATGAACTTGCCTATAGAAAGCAAATGTGATTTACAAAAACACATTAATGAATAACTGTATGATGAATACAAGGGCAAAATCAAATGAGACATAATGTTTTTGAGAATAAAGGAAAGAGTCCATATGATTTAGATTTTACACCAAATAAGCTGGACGATAGATTTAAACTCTGGATAAACATCCCCATCTAGTATTATACAGACAGATGACATTAGAAGCTAGTAAAGCAGCCGGTAAATATTTTATTTAACTATTTATGAATGCATTTAAATAACATATTAAAAGAGGGGTCATCTCTTGACTCTATAAATCTCTCCACAGTCTAAAAGTTTACTCAACAAAATATGTAACGGACAGATGGGGAAAGGAAGGAGACAGAGGAGTGGCCAGATACTGTGTATTTCAATGCAAGGGCACTTAATCTCATGCGTGATAAGAATTTCGCTGCACAAATGTTGTTCAGTTTTTAATCACTCCTTTTATAGACTCACAAGTCAGTCTTTAGACGCTTTGCTTAACTAAAGACTGATGGCTTCCTCCCTGATTTTGTGTTTAGATGGGCGGATACAATTTCAGAGTTTAAAAAAACTCCCTGAGTTGCAGAACCAATAGTAAATCCGCAGGGCGGTCCTTCGTTGGCTCACTGAACATAAACATAGTCCGACTGCATTAAAAGATTTAAAAAAAGTCCATTTCCATTTTCACAGTCTTGTGGAAATGGACACGTTTGATAAAATGGAGTTAAATCTCTTGGCATCCATTTTCAAGCTCTCTGTGTGTTTGTTTCCTTGCGGGCGAGAAAACTGGGAGCGCACATTTCCGGGAGGGCGTGTCCTTTTCAAAAATGCAAGAGGCGTTGCTTTGTTGCTGGCCATTTTCTCTGGTGTGTTAAACACACTTTAGAAAGGAGTGTCCCCAGACTATCGATAATGGTAGTTCTCAATGCTGGAGGAACGGTGGCTGTCAAACTGCAAACCACTACCATGTGCTCTGGGATTGCCAAAATATTTAGAATTACTGGTAAATAATGCACAAAGCAATACAATCCATCTTTAGTATTCATATACCATTAGATTTCAAAGTTCTATATTTAGGCAATATTCCCCCTTCAGTAAAAGGTATTGGCAAATACTTAATGAGTATATTGCTGGCAGTAAGGAAAAAGGCTCTGACCAGGAAATGGATGATGCACGTTGGCAACTTGGCCGTACTGTAAATGACTGAGTAGATGTAACAATGGAGATTTACATGATGGAGAAAGTTACTTTCTTTGGACACCTAAAGATGGACATCGCCATAACATCGGCAGTGACGGCACTGTCGTTGTTTACTCGCCTTTTTTATTTTTGTGCGAGTCGTAAGCAAATGGTGATCAATAAATACAAAGCAGACAAAGACTACTTACCTATTTGTAGTGCTAAATATTAATTATTGGAATAAATTTGTTGGAATAATCACTGGCGCACGAACCTGTCCAACCTGGGCTTTGGGTCCAAACTCACGTCTTCTTCTTTGGGGTTTATTTGGAGATTTGCAAACACGGTGCACTACTGCCACCAACTGTTCAGGTGTGGCCTGTATTTTGATGGGAGAGCTGCGACTGTTGCACGACGCGTCTGTTCAGTTTTGGTTGTGGTATCTCCAGCAGCGATTTTCATCCATTGCGCTACTTCACATTGAGAGCAACATCAAAACACAGCTGTCACCTGAGACCATAGTGGACGTATACGCAGGGCGCAAACACAGACATTTACTTCTCCACTTGGACATTTCGCAATGTAAGTTAAAATCTGCTTTGCAATTTAATGTCTGTGGTGTTTATTTAGCATTTATGAGTTTTAATGCACTGTTGTATGTAAAATTGTTATGCTTCACCCAGTGCGGCAGGGTCAGATCTCTAAACTGTCTCGGCCTGTAGTCGGATTTTTTTGCCCCCCCCGGCACCAGGGACGATTGCTCTGAGACAACAAGGGAGGCTGAACTTCCCCTAAAATTTCATAGAAGAAATGGTCAAATATGCACTATTGAATTTACATTAAAATAAGAATTTACATTGCATTAAACATGCGCTGGATGATGTTCAAACGTCAGCTGTTTATCACCAGTTTTCAAACGCTACCTCCCTGTCATACATTCTCGTGTCAGCACGGTGGACGCGGAGCCTTCAAGCATTCCTATGAGACAGCGCTGAGCAGGTTTTTTCATGCAGCAAAGCGAGACGGTCATTGGCTAAATGCGACAAAATCGTCACTTCCAGGGAGGCTCAGCTTCCCTGGGACCTGATGGAGTGGTGAGCGGAGAGGATGCTCGGTGTCTGCATGATGATTGGAGGAACTGTCTAAAAGGCTGAACCCCTTTGTGATTGACAGCACTTTGGAAATACACACCAGCATTGTTGCATTTCGAGCTCAGTCCCATGCAGATATTTGCGAGTTGAGTCTCCTGACAGAGTGCCGTCCAGAGTTCCTTATTTCCATAAGCCATATAGCTCATTTTCACCATTTTAAACCCATCTTAAAATCTTTGAGGTGTGTGTTGCTGTGCTTCTATGGCATGAGTGTGGTTGAAAAATGGCTTCAACTAAATGTTCCTTTTATAAGTTACTGCCTCGCTACAATATGACACATTTTATGATGTAAACTTAAAGTGAGCTTCCCCTGTTTGAAAGTCCAGCAGCCGCCACTACCTGGCACCAATCTCAAACTCCGCCTATGCTCTGAAACCTGACTTTGTTAAGATAACTAAAGGAACATATTTAACTTTTTATTTATTAACTTTTCTTTTTTCTCTTCTGTGTCCTCTTCCATGTCCAGATATTGCATTGTAAATGCAATTTGTGAAGCCAAACTGCTACGAGCATTTTATTTAATCTATTTTATTTTATTTTATTTTATTTTATTTCAGCCTTTATCTCTGCTTCACTGGTTGTGTGTAGTTTTATTATGGCCCTTTTTTCACAGTCATCCTTTGAAAATGGACAGAAATAGTGAATGAGTAAATCTACATAAAAATGAGGGTGAGGGGCTTTTATTTATTTATTTATTATTTAATTTAATTTGATCTAATTTAATTTATTTACAAATCATTTGTTGGTTTTCTCTCTCTTTTTCTCTTAACTGCATGTTCATGCTGTTTTGCTTGCTTAAGTTACCAATACAATATTATATCACATTGTTAAGGAGTTAATATAAAAAAAAAAAACACCACTGTGCTCACAGACAGAGAGATATTTTAGTTTAAACTGGTCCCACATACTTTACAGTTGCCTTATTTTCTTTTCCAGCACTCCAAGATGATTCACATGAAGGACAGACTCCTTGTGACATCTCAGCTCATTGACTTCAGGAGATTGATCATGCATCCTGCTGTGGTCTTCTTTCTCCTAACACACTCTGGTGGAGGTAAATTACACACAAACAGACAGGAAATCATGATCAGAGTTTCAATATAATACCGTAAGAAATCATACAGTAAAAATAATGGTAATGTGATGCACTAAAATGTGAGATGCACCACAGAGCATGACAAGAAGTCATTCCTGCCTGTGGCCATCTTGATTTACTGGATATAGACTCGGGCTATAAGCCTTTCAGTGGCTGGTTATTTAAGCTGACAGTCAATCTTTTCTTTCTCTGCATGTGACCATCTTCAAAATGCATTTTGGTGATTCCAGAACATTCTCAAGCACTAACACAGCAGTGGAGACACACTGTAAACCTCAATCCATCCATGATGCTAAATTTTAATGCAAAGTCTACGCCAATGCCTGGATTGTCAAAATGACACAAACTTTATGATCACTTGACACAAAAACTCAAACCTTGTGAGCTTGACTTTTTTTTTATGTTAAGTGAACAATTTAACGTTAATTTGACAAAAATATATAAAGCTGATTTCACCTAATTAGTTTATGGCCAATAAACAAAACTATCATGGTGCATTTAACATATTGTGGTGTGTTGGGGATTAATAGGTGGAGTTTCCCAGCATGCCATGAGACAATGTGTTTAAGGGCATAAGCCGAAGAAAACTGTGTTTAAATATGTTCTAGATCACTCATGTTACCCATTAACCCATTGTGCAGTGATGTATTTCCCATTGATTCTTATAGGTTATAGCTAATGTTGTGGTGAAAGTTATCTTGCGCCATGAATAAGTTGTGTACACAATCAGTGACCTCCCAAGGTCCAACTGCACTAGTGGCCATCAAACATTTCAGCTCCTCTCTCAGAGCAACACATCCTCACTCTGACCTTGTCAAATGTGGATGTTTGGTCGTGGACTTTCTATGTCAAGATATGATGTGCAATGAACCCTGGCTGACATTGAAAAAGTTAGCAGCAGGCAGTGACATTTAGCTTGTTTAAACAGATATGTTTTGAGGTTGGATTTGAAAGTGTCCAGGGATTGAATATTTCGGATATCAGGTGGGAGGGAGTTTGAGAGGTGGGGGGCTGAGCAGCTGAAGGCTCTGGACCCCATGGTGGTCAGGCGGGCTGGAGGGACAGTGTGGCTGATTGAAGAGGAGGATCTGAGAGACCTGCTGGGTGTGTGGATGTGGAGGAGGTCAGTAAGGTATAGAGGAGTGAGGTTATGGATGGCCTTGAATGTGAGCAGTAGGGTTTTGAATTGGATGCGGTATTGTGTGGGAAGCCAGTGGAGTTGATGGAGGACAGGAGTGATGTGCTGGATGGATGGTGTTCTGGTGATGATCCGGGCAGCAGCACATTTGCATTTTCCATGGTTAGGGTTAGAAAAACAAAGCACATGGTTGAGTTTAGATAAAAAGATAAAAAGATAAAAAATCCAACAACCACCGATTTATTATGTGATAAATCGGTGGTTGTTGGATCCATCCACCAGACCTCCTGATCACCTTAACCTTCGTTGATGTCCCATCACCATTAAACAGCTGCAACCGGCTGCATATCATGCCGATGGGAAAAGACAGCTTAGACAGCTTTTTTCGTCACTACTGAGCACGGTTACATGCGCACAATAATCAGATAACTGGGAATAATCAGGTAATGGTAATAATCCGATTTGATGCGTTTGTGTGCACTTCAATAATCTGATAATCAGAAAAACCTGGTTTACATGATTCAGTCCTTCAGTTGGATTTCTCCCCAAGTACATGACATAAAACTCAAACTTCCTGTTACAGTAGGTACTCATATCCTTGAAAAACCTCAAAAAGTACGCAAGTCATATATTTGCAGAATAAAGCACTCATCATGCTGAGAGCTTATATTCTTACAGTACTGTTTTTTGTTATCATTAACAAATACATGTGAGAGCATTCTAATGTGTAGTTTATCAATGTGGAGCCAATTTTACATACTTTGAGTAGATTCAGAGTAAAGGTACTGTAAAGCGCAATATACAAGTGTATTGTATATAAACTTGTCAAACAAAGTGCATAACATATACGTAAGATAAAATAAAACACTGAGAATATAAAAATATATTATTTGATGTAAAATCTTTATCTGAAAGGAAACAAAAGCTGTCAGATTAACGTAGTGGAGGAGAAAGTACAACATTTCCCTCTAAAATGTTGTGGAGTGGGAGTGTAAAATAGCAAAACCCAAAAGAAACCAGATTAAAGGGTATACATGCACCGAATAATCTGACTATTGGGGAATAAGTTAGTTGTGTTTATCTGATTTCTCATAATCAGATAATGGCTTTTTTCTGATAAAGCCTTTCTTATTATGCTGTTTACATGACCACTTGAATAATCAGGTACCTCCAGAAATCAGATAATAATCGGTTTATTAGTGTGCATGTAAACGCGCTCAGTGTCTGACACTGGAAGTCACTGACCAAGCACCGGATTTCGACGATATCAGAGTGAGACCGGGCTGCTTAGAGTGTCACTCTGAATCAATAGATTTTGGGCCTTGGACTTATTTTACCCCTCAGCAGTAGCTAAAACAGCTACCATAGAGTTTTTTATGTGTAGCTCTATCCAGTCATGCTACTTAACATGTTTTTTCTGTTGCGCATTTTCCCTTTCCATCAAAGTGGCGAAATGGCTTGAAGATTTTACCCACCACTGCCAACAATTTACCCACATTTGGTGGGTGGCTGGTGCTAATATCAGACCCTGCCAGTAGTTACTGGTAATGCTGCCTACAGAAAATAGCCACACACTCGCACTCTCAAGTTGGATATGACAAATATGTAGAGTAATGGTTGTGGAATATAACAAAAATAGAGTATTGAGAAATAATGGGAAATTCAGTGTGCTGTTTCCTGTCATTTCTACCTGTGGCCACAGTGGCTAATGTACAAGGCAGTTAGTCAAAGCAAAAGCCAGTTACGTACTGTCTCACTTTTATATAGTTGTGTTAATCCATCAATACTCACTGATTTAAAGAACACTGAGAGAAAGCTATTGCTGTACTAATGTTATATTGAACTCACAACTTTAAAAAGCAGTATACGTGGGAGTTAACAAAACAGAAATGTTTTTTGTCTCCTTAGGTCAGTCTCAGGTGATCGGTACATATCAGCCAATAGTGGCAATGGTTGGTGATGACGCCATTTTGCCATGTCATCTCAACACTGCTGTAGATGCTACTAACCTGACTGTAGGGTGGGTGAGACCTGACTTTGAACCAAGAATTGTCCATTTGAGGCATGACGGTGTGGAGCACCAGCTTGAGAAGCATAAACTATACATGGGGAGAATATCACTGTCTACCAACGAACTGAAGTGTGGAGACATTTCACTGAAACTCTCCAAAGTAGAACCTTCAGATGCTGGGACATACAGATGCTTTGTTCCCAAATTTAAAATAGAATCTGTGGTCGTGCATGCTGTCGGTAAGTTAACATATATTCATTGTGCACAACAAAAAGCTACAATGATCCATGAAAGGTATAAATGTGTTATACAGTGATGCAGTCAATGCTGGGGTAGGCAGAAATCTGGAAAATGCAAAAAATAAGGCAGAATTGTGGTGGGGAATTGAGGCTGCCCTGTACCCTTGCACTGGGGTTGTGCTGGCAGGATTGGTGCTGCTACAACAGCTGATTGGGAGTCGGCGTGATGCAGTGTGATTCAAGGCTCTCGCTAACTTTAGCTACAAAAAGAAGCCAAAGAAAAAAATAATATTGTATGGAGGGTTCAGAATGCCTGACAAATGCATATGTGGTAGATTGTAACCAGAAAGGAATAAAGAATGACAGCTGAAAAGAGATTATCTTGGTGTTTTTAAGCCCTCAGACAATGATGAAGTCGAAATCCTGGATCAGTAACTGCGCTAAATCAGATGCCAGCAGAAATTTGCATGGACGCTACTATTCACGTGATCAGAGAGAAGGTTATGTGCAGGTTTAGTTCTCACTGTGTATTGTTCCAGTGACACATGAGTCGCCCAGATGCTATCCAGACCTAACAAGTTGTGTTGACTTCAGGGCCATATGTAGCAACCAGAATGGCACTTGGGTGGACCCCAAAGGGTGCTTGTGCTGATCAGAGAAATACTTGTCCTTACTAAAGGGATACTTGGAGTGACCACAGGATTATTGTTGATCACCAATCACTTGGACTGACGGCAGTGGCACCTGGATCGACCACACGGGTATTTGGGTCAAACAGAAAGGGAACTGGGTCAGCAAGAATAGCACTTTAGCTGACCAGAGCAATTGGGCCAAGAAGACTGACCAGAGGGACATTTTGACTGACAATAGAGTACTTTGATAGACCACAGGGACATTTATGCCCAAAGAAAAGTATTTTGGCCAATTGGTGCTGACCAGATGTGTACATGACCTGAACAGAATAGTCCAATGGCTGACCAGAGGAGAACTTGACCATAAGGGCCTTTGACCGATCAAGGCCAACCAGAAGGTTCTTGGACTGACAAGAAGGGTACTGTTTATGGCTGATCAGAGGGACATTTGGGCCAAACACAGTGGTACTCATGCCAAGCAGAGGGTACAGATTGGCACTTGAACAGACATGAGGAGGGGGGCTTGAAATGATTACAGAGGCATTCTGGTTCACCAGAAACCAGTACTTCAGCTGATCAAGGGGCATTTGGGCAGAGTATAGAGTCAGGGTACCATTGTAAAGCACTTGGGCTGTTATTTTAGGGGGAAATGGATGATTGCTGTGCCTTATCGGGGTATAAAGATCTTGGTTCAAAGATTCAACAAGGGCATTACCAATCAGCTGAGAATGGTACACATTTATCCTCACTAAGAATTATTTTTAGGTTGAAAAAGGTGTATAGACTGTATATTGAGTGACAGAAGCGTATCTTTATTGTTGTGACTTAACTTTTATTCTTTCTAAGGTTCTGTCTCCTCACCTGATGTAAGGATTTCCAAAGTCAGCAATGGATTGGTGTTACAGTGTGAGTCTGCAGGCTGGCATCCAGAGCCTGAGGTGTTGTGGCTGGACGGTGAGGGAAAGCTCCTCTCTCCTGGACCTACAGAGACAGTCAGAGGTCCTGATGACCTCTATACTGTCAGCAGCAGAGTGACTGTGGAGATGAGACACTGCAACAGCTTCACCTGTAGAGTCCAACAGAGGAACATCAACCAGACCAGAGAGACACACATCCAGGTTCCAGGTAGAAAACATGACGTGTGAGTTACTAATGTTACCACTTTGTTACAGACAGTTAAAGTCTTCTTTTATAAACGTATCTGTGTTTTATGATTTCAGAGTATCTCTTCATGGCCCAGTCTAATGCTGCTCGCATCATCATCTGCTTGATTGTGTGCATCCTGTCTGTTGTTGCAGTTGTATTCATTGTTTGGAAAATGGGACAAATAGAAAAAAGTAAGTAACAAATGTATTCCTTTTTTCCATACCTCTAACTACGCAAATCTCTTTTATGGCATTTTTACATGAATTACAATTAGAGGCAACAAAAGCGTGTGGTTGGGTTTAGTACAAAGAACAGGGTTTGGCATTACAATCTCACGGGAAATGAATACCTGTCCCTCAGGTGAAAATCGGTGGTTGTTGGATCCGTCCACCACCTCTCCCACCTGCCCTATTCAGACTTCTGCTGCCTTAACTTTGGTTGTTGTCCGGCTGCATTCCCCCCTGATGCCACTGGGCACCATTAAACAATAACGGTGACCGGCATGCTAATGTGAAAAGACAGCTTTATTTGTCGGTGTCAAACGCCGGAAGTCACTGACCGGTGCCAGAGTTCTACAAATTTAGAGTGGGACTGGGTTAATTTGGTCATCCAGTTTCATTTATCAAACGCCTTTCAAATAAAACTTGGGTGGTTATCAGGTTAGCAGCTTCATTGTTGTTGGTGATTAAAACAATAATCCTTGCTCCAAGCCAAAAAAAAAAAAAAGAAAAATCAGAGGAAGCCCCCCATTAGCCCCCCATTGTTGTTGTTTTTGTTGTTGTTTTAATTTTGCTATTTATTTCTGCTGTGCTTCCCTGTTAAATTCAAATGGCAACCTATGCGGCTGAAAAATGAAGCCATCATGGAAGTGCCAAAACCTGCAGTTCCTCTAATGGCCACTGGAGGCTGGCTCCAACAGCAAGTCAATCCATAGACGCCATGTTAAAATGACTAACTAAATAGCAGAAATAAACATGTTTACATCCTGGTACAAAAGAAAAGATTTCAGTCTCTATAGCTAATTTCAGTGTCCATGATAAATTAACTCTGCCTCACTCCGAAGTCGTCAAAATCTGGTGCTTATATCATATCTTGATGTGCAAAGTACATGACCAAACATCAATACGCGATGAGGTTAGAGTTAGAATTGGTTGGACAAGTGTATGGGGGTGAACTTTAATATAACTCACCATATTACATTTTATTAAGGCTCAAAGTTACACATAATTCGGGGCGACACAGTTTCGAGTCTGCAAGGCGCTACCACAGTCTGTAGCCCCTTTTACACTGCCAGATTTCTGGCGAATGTTGGGCTGTTTTGCCGACAAGCTGTGAGCATTTAGACAGACAGAGCTGGATTGACGAGTTGATCCGAGGCGCCCAATTTTCCGCCTCGTAGGGTAGACATATTGGAGGAACCTTTTTGGTTTTAAAAGAACGAGGCGGCCTTTCTGCAACAAGAGAGAAGCTGTTGATGACTTGTGGGAGGAGCTGTTGATGACTTGTGGGAGGAGCTGTTGATGACACCGCACGTTCGAGCCACTGGCGGTGGATAAACAGGAAACAGCTGATAGCAGGAATTAGTGAGCAGCTAGTAGCAAGAGGGAAACACAAACCTGACAGACACTGTAAAGATGAGCAACTGGGGAGACAAGGAATTGCGCGCCCTCCTTGTCCTCGCAAACGAAGAGGCCATTAACCGTCAAATGACGGGGACGGTGAAGAACGGGCCGACTTACGAGAGAATCGCTGAAGGACTGACCAGCCGCAGCTTCCCTTCCAAGTCACACGCTGAGCTACACGTTTTGTTACTTGCTCACGCCCCCCATTGCCCCGAAAAAGGCACATTCTGTATAAACAAAAGTAGGTAGGCGGCATTTTGCTGCACTCCCCGATTTTGTTTTCTACTGCCAATGCTGAAAAAAGACTGATTGGGCTTTCCTCCAAATTTGCACAACTCCTATTTACAAAGGGCTTATGAGTCAGATTCAACCCTCGCTCCTCCACAGCTCCATGCTCTCGTCCAAATTTGGTCACTTCTGGTTCCAAAAAACCAAGACGTCAACAATGCCAAACATGCCAAACTTTAAAACAGCAGTCCATAAACCAATGGACTGTGTAAAGGTGGTTATGTCCATTATGTTTATGCAGTCTATGGTTACAATCTTTGTCTCAGCAAAGGGAAACACTGCAAGAACAAAACAGGTTTTAACTTCAAACTTAATACATGTATTTTCTTTTCACACAGAAACCTCAGACGGCAGCACAGAACTTCAGCATCTGATGGGGGGAGTATTCAGAGAGAAGCTCATGACAGGAAGGGACAACGCAAAGGCAAAACTTGATGAAGAGTTACAAAAGAACAAGGGAGAACTGCAACATGTACAACAGGTGATTACAACACTGATGGGCCAGAAGGAAGATCTGAAGAACCAGAGAGAGAAACTCATCTCACTACTGCGGGAGGACAATGCAGAGAAAGAGGAGAATGAGAAGGACCAGGAAAATATAGGATTCATGGAGAAAAAGACAGAAAAAAAGAAGAAACTTGAAAAGATCAAAGACGATGTGGAGAAGAGAATGAAAGAACATGGTGACCTGTTAAAGAAAACACAAACACTACTAAAGATAACAAAGGAGATGAATATTCAAATGTCGGAAAGGAAGGAAAAACTACAGGCTAATAGGGAGCAAATAAATGAAAACCTGACAGAGAGAGAGAAACAGAGAGAACTTCAGTCAGAGCAGCCAGAGAGAGAAGAGGAAAGGAAAGATACAGTATCTGCTGATCAATCATGACATCATTTCCTGTTCAAATCACACAAAGTGTAAACATTCAGAAAATCCGAGACATTCTTTTTAGATCTGTAGTGTCATCAGTTTAAGCATCTACCTGGTTATTCCAAAGCAGATATAAACCCCATGCACTTCGGTCCATCTATTCTCTGAACACATCCTCCAGGTCATGTGACTAAAGAAACAGTAACATGTGTCAAAGATGAGCAGAGCAGGTTGCTGAACTTTTCTAAATTTTAGCTCAGCACTCAAAGTCTCTTTATAGGTATTATTGTCTTTCTCATTGTTGGGTTGCATGTTGTTGTCTTTTTTATTACACTGTGCTATAATCTTACTTTGGTATATTTGTTGTAACTCCACAGGAGGCTGTCCTTTACTGACGTAAATAAAACTAGAATTATACTTTGCAATTTTTTGTTCTACTAATTTTTTTTTCTGATGATTGCTGCTATACTATTATTTTTGCTGCATTTGTTGTAAATTAATTTGTTGCTGTCCAGAAATAATGGGTTTGTACAACATGTGTAAACAATACTGAATAATTTATGAAATTTTGGATCAGTATTCTCCAAGAGTTTTTCTTTTATTAATGGCCCAAGTTAAGTGTTTTATTCTTAAAAAACATAGTTTGAGAGGACTTGGGACATTAAGGAATTTAATTAAAGCTGTGTTACCTAAGTTGTGTTGTTCAGTTTCCTTTGGATTAGTGTAAACTCTGCCCTCTGGTGGTGAGATCAGCTCACAGCTGAAACAGGAAGAAACCTGTTGACCTGCAGCATAATCAGTCAGTCAATCAGTCGTTTCTTATCAACATTCCCAAGACAACGGAAAATCAAATCAAATGTGCATATACTTTTTTTTCTTTTTGCAGACACAGGTGCTTGTGTTTTATAGTCTAGAAATATTTAATTTTATTATCCTGAAATTGTATTTAATAAAGAATTAGGTTAACTTTTTCTGTTTTGTGATGTTTTGTGTCTAAAGGAGGTTGATTAGACCTCATTGAATACATTACATTATAATGTTTGAAGATAATTTGGAATGAAGGGTCTGAATTATTGAATGTGATTTATTATTAAATTCTAGGCTGGCAAGAGTAATGCAACAACAACAACAAATAAATAGTAGGTGACACAAATGTGAGGTCAAGTGAATAAAGTGCTGCATAATGTAACAACATTATTTGATGTGGTTTAAGGCTTCAAGCCACTGAATAGTGTTCAGACAGATAGAGGGATGCTCTTATTGCCCAGTGCATTATATATCAAATACCCACCTCAATCAAATCTAGTGTACAACATACAGGTGCATCACCATCATTTAGAATATCATAATAAGTTCAATATTTTTTGTCATATGTCATATTGTCATTTTGTCTCTTGTAACTTTATTGGCTCATGAAACAGCCACCTGCATAACGTTAAATAACGTTACCTTGGGGAGCATGGCACTGACTTAATGAGCTCACATCATGCATGATTAGCCAGTAGCTTTCAACCCATTGTGTCACAGCTAAAGCTTCTAACATGAATGTTACTTAGCAACAACTTAACTTTTTTTTTCTAAAAAAATAATTAAAAAAAACTGTCATTCACACATCTCGTCTGTCAGCTAGCAGTATCGTCGTCTTCCTGTTAACTGAATTCAAGTTTTCTGTGTTCCGCTGATACATCAGATAACTTCCTGCGTGTCGTTTCAAAATAAAAGCTGTCCGGTGTGTTAATATGTTTACCATGCTGTTTGGGGCTTGTTCTGTTTTTTTCTCTTTGAAATTTTTACCGAGGTCTGGACCTCGGTGACCTCATAGCTGGCCATGAGAGCAAACTGCTTATAAAAGTAGCTTCTGTTCTTGCAGTTCCAACACTGTGTTTAATCCTTTAATATTTGATGTCTTCAAGCTTTGATACTTTTCACATGTAGTTAAGTTTATTTGTCTGTTTTACTAACTGTTTGAACTAAAACATTATTTTTCAATGAGCTATGTAAACAGTATAAACTGTGGTTGATCTACTCTCAGTGACCAGTAACCTCAGTTTATGTTAATGCTTAGTCTATGTGCAATATTCTGAAGTCCACATCAGTGGTTGTTAAATGTTTGTGACTACACTGAACAAAATCACAGGATTTCAGAGGAAATTTAATTTGGGGAGACTGACTGTGTTGATAAAGCTTTGTGCGTCCTCTGTTTTGATTGGTTGCTAACATATTTTGACCATGTCATTTTTGTCATGAAACACATAAAATAAATAAAATAAAATACAAAATATTATATTGATTATTTTGATTATATCTGAAACTTTTTTCCCCTAGAACTCCAAGATGATTTGCCAGACTCTGACTGATGGACTGCTCCTTAACAAGCTCAGTACTTTGGTTTCTCAGCGCACTGTGATCCTTCTTCTACTGACAGTCTTTTACAGAGGTAACAGACACATTTACAGCAGGACTGGATGAAGCCTGTATGAAAGAGGAAAAACGGCAAAAAAAAAAAGTCGGGGAGTCAGGTGTGATTGCAAGATTTAAAGGGACAATTCATCCCAAATCAAAAACATATTTTGTCTTACTTTAAAGTGGAATTTATTGTTTTGGTGTGAGTGGTCGAGTATTGGAGATATCAACTGCAGAGACGTCTGCCTCCTCTCCAATAAAATGTAAATTGAAAGAAACTTGGGTATGTGCTCAAAATATATATATATACTAGTCCATACCCGTTGGTAGCTTTGTCACCTTCTACCTATGCCAATCCTCAATGCCTGTGTGCAGTTTCACATAGATTGACCACGTCAGTGAGTAGAAAAACGTGGGACAGACAGAATGACCTATTAAATCAAGCCTCACTATATACATTGTACTGTTCCTTCATACTTCCATACATCAGTTACTGTGTGGAGGTATGGGGGAACACTTACAAAACAAACACACATCCAGTATTCATCCTGCAAAAAAGAGCAATTCAAATCATTAACAAAACCACATACAGACAACCTACAAATTCACTTTTTATCAAATTAAGAACACTAAAATTCCAAGATCTGGTTGATTATAAAATTATTCAAATCATGCACAAAGCAAGAAATCATCAATTACCTGTCAGTGTCCAAGAGTTGTTCCAACTGAGAGAAAGTAAACATAACATCAGAGGAATCCACATATTCAAGAAACCACCAATCAGAACAACTGCAAAACTTCATTGTCTTTCAACCAAGGGTATAAACTTATGGAACAGCAGTAACAATGAGATAAAAACATGTGAAACCNACCAATCAGAACAACTGCAAAACTTCATTGTCTTTCAACCAAGGGTATAAACTTATGGAACAGCAGTAACAATGAGATAAAAACATGTGAAACCTTAACTAAACTAAAAAACATTTTCAGAAAGAAAGTATTGCGTAAATATGAGATGGAACAGTGATATTTTTTTGTCTTGTTTTGTAAATTGCGTTTTGTATTGCTGTAGGTTGTTTGTTTGAAAATTCTAGTGTATTTGTCTGTTATTGTATTATATCTTGAAAATCGAACTTTAAGGTTGTTGTTTTTTGTGTTGTTTTGTATATATATATATTTTTTTTAACTTAAATTGCACATATAAAATATGAGGGGGTAGAACTAGAAAAGTTTTTTTTTACTTCTTCTTACCCCTTTTGAACATGACCAATATCATTTAAGTTGTTTATTATTTGATTCTGCTTTGCTTGTTTTGTTTTGTTTTATGTCGTATGCTTTATTTTGTTTGACTTTTTGTTCCTTTTAACATGTTCAATAAAATCGTTCAATTCAATGGCTGACTGACAGAATGACACACTGACAGAATGACACACTGACAGTTTCCGTGATTATGTACAGCATACCATACCATGACTTAGTCATACCAAACATTGGTCCACAGGGGGAGCCACAGCGATCGGTCGCATTTTAGCCATTTTGAAGCATTTTTCTGTTGTTATAGCGCCACCCAGTTGCCAATTAGAGTTAAATTTCTCCAGTCACCTTGAGGCGTCCTGTTCTACATATCTACCAAGTTTAGTAAAAATCCATATGGCGGTTAGGCCTAGATAAGAAATGAGCTCTCTAGCGCCCCCATTTTGTTTGATGGGGTCAATAATGGAGGGGTCCCCTCAGATTATGTGTGGTCATATGCCTACAAAGTTGCGTGGTGATGGGTGAAACCCTTGAGATGTTATACACCTTTATGTGATGAGCCACGCCCTCCGCAATATTCATTGCCTTATAGAAGCTCAGTTTTAGTAAGTTTTCCAACTTTTGCCAAGAGGGAACTTTAGATATTGGTCCCTAGATTATGTTCACCCAGTTTCATGCAGATCGCTCAAACTTCCTAGGAAGAGATCCATTTGAAGTGTTTTTCAAAACATTCAAAATGGCAGAAAATCTATATAAGCGGAAGTTATGGGTTCTTGAGGCAAATGTGTTCCTCATGAGGAGAGGCATCTCTGTGCAAAGTTTCATGTCTCTACGACATATGGGGCATGAGATATGCCCATTCAAAGTTTGACATTTCAATGGGTTGCTATAGCGCCCCCCTTTGGCCAATTGATGTAATATTGCTTCATTGGCATCCTCCCATGACCCTCTACCACTGTGCCAAATTTCACATGGATTGACCAAGTCAGTGAGGAGAAAAACGTGGAACACACACACACACACACACACACACAGAGTTTTCGGCATCATATAGTAAGATATATAAAGTTAAAAGTAAAAAAATAACATAAAAAAGAATATCTCAACAGCAGAAATCATGAGCTGGTTACACAAGATAATCTGCAGACCTTGTTTTCTTTCTACTGAACAACACCTACCAACTGAATCACTGTGCAGAAGGAAGTGTATATCTAACCTGTAATGATTGCTAGGTAAGATGAGCTAGCAGTACCAATTTATTGGGAGGATGGACAATGAAATATAGGTAATCTGCATTTGTTTTTATTGAGTAACCGTGTCATGATGAGACATTGCTGTTGAGGGTATTTTTGTTTGTTTGTTTGTTTTTTGGCACTTTTAACACAACAAGCCAAGTGCCATCTAGTTAAACAGAATTATATAGCGCTTCTCTGGCCTTCCGACCATTCAAAGTGCTTTTTACACTACATTCACCCATTCGACCATACAAGGTGCTACCTCCTACTCAGTAACCATTTAGTGGCATTCACACACCGATTGAACAGCTATAGGGAGCAATTTGGACGCTTTGACCTGCAGGCTGGAGGAGCCGGGGACTGAACTTGTGATCATCGGATTAGTGGATGACCTGCTCTACCTCTAAGCAACAGCTGCCCCAAGATCCATTATATTAGAGAGAAGGCACACATCTTTACAGCTGATATCTCTAACACTCGGCAGCTCACACCAAAACAATCTAGACTGATACATAACGCTACAGGTAAAAGGAAAAATGTGTAAATCTGATTTTGGGGAGAACGGTCCCTTTAAAATGTTCCATGTGTCTCTGCAGGCCAGTCTCAGGGGGCTAGACCTTCTCGAACAATAGTGACATTAGTTGGTGAAGACGTTATCCTGCGGAGTGGGGGAGACTTGACCTGGAACCAAGATTTGTCCATGTGTGGCATGAAGGTCAAAACATTCTCAGGAACCAAAACCCGTCTTACAAAGGAAGAACATCAGTGTCCATTGAGAAACTGAAGCATGGAGACCTTTCACTGACACTGTCTGCAGCCAAACTCTCCGATAATGGAATCTATAGATGCTACTTTCCCCCACAGAGTAAAGAATCTACTGTTGAGCTTATTGTTGGTGAGTGAGCGGAAGTTTTTGTGGTGCACATTTTGCATCGTACTCCTACATATCTTTGTATTCCAGTGGCTACACTGGTGCAGGTTTAATGTCTTGTTTTAAGCCCAGAGGTGTAGAATTTCTATGCTCTATGCTACAGTGTCATGTTGTTGGCAGGACAGTGTCCGTTTCCTTCAATTTGAAG